GTTCTCATATCAGCGAAAATAAGAACCAAAATCTTGATAAAAACACTTATTCGAATTCTAAAGACTGCGAAATTTTCAAATCCCCAAATTCCCCACATTGATACACTTACGCTGGTTTATATTGTTAAAATGTCTTGATAAAAGGTTATATTATTTGGAATGCCGCCTTGCTCCATGCCTAAAAAGCATTATTCTATCGACCTAATAAAAGCAGAAGCGAAATCGATGAAGCATGTAGACATAGAAAAAATTAGGGCGATATTTTATTTCAGCATAGAAATCTGGCCAATGGAACTATGCCCTGGCCTAAATCCAGCATGGTTAGAGACCAGACATTATTACTAGCCTAGGCAGTAAGGAGGTGATAATTTTCTCTGGGATAAGGTAATAGTTATCATAGTACATTTTATCATCGTTCTTGGCAGTTAGAAATAGGATTCAAACGGCTTTTCTCCATTCAAAGATCGCCATTATTTTTTTTCCCATATTGGTGAATATAACTTCTGTAAGACGCTGCGCAACATTTGAGGAGTTCAGTTCGATAGATCGCTTTTTTTGGGAGTTTCATTTGCCTTCCGAATGGTAGAATTATTTTATGTTCCGTTGGAGAATTACACTTGTAAAGTTTCAAAATGGCTCCACTTATACTTGAAAATTTATATAGCCCATCATGCCTAAGTACAGATTTAAACAACTCTTTCTATAAATGGTCTAAGAGTATAGCTTCATCTCGAACCAGATATCTTTGATCAGATATTTCATCGATATCTTTAAAGCTGCTGCTTAATGTCCTCTACATTTCTATATCTCTATTGTTACATTGCTAGACGAATCAATTTTTGATTTGATTCTTGCATACTTGACCTGCAATCTTTATATTCGAGGCGACATCTCTACATGGTCATTTTGTAACAATCTTTGTGAGTCTATGGAGCTGCCGATGGTCCGCACATAGTCTGCCAGCTTGAATAATCTAATGGTTCCGTTTGGAATCCAATTTGCTCTCGTTGGTTCGTCCTTGAAGAGTTTAACTGGAGCCAGTACTCATCAACTCTCTTCGAAATGCTATTAAAAGCTTAGATGAAGCTTAGATTGCTTCTTTGAAACTTCAAATTGCACATCTCCTAAATTTTTAACTTAATATAATCGAAAGATTTTGAGAGATTTGCTTGTGCACCCTGTTAATTTTATCCGGATCTTTGCTCTAACCGTAAAATAGCCTGAACTGTGGAGGCATCTTTGAAGTGGCTGTCTAGTATGAAACCAAAAAAAGATACCCAAAAGCCATAGTATAGTCAACCAGATTTGAACATTGATTATCTACAGAGTTTCATATAAATATCTTCTAGAGTGCAGGAAATCTGTATTGGTGAAATCTATAAAAAGACTATATACTATCAACAAAGCTAAAAAGTTGCTATTTAGGTACATCGAGTCTCAAAGCAATGCTTGCCAGCCCCAAATGATATGACACGACTAAAGATTGCGGTTCTTCCGTAATCATAGTTCTTTTTGATAGATATTCAAGTTGTACGCCAAATCTATGCTTCTAATTCGAGCATATATACTAATGATCCAGAAATTGATTTCAAAGACAGCATATATCCATTCTTTAATGGTATTCCACTCTTATCTTTCCAGACATGACAATCGCGTTCCCATTTCTCGCAGAGTTATTCCAAATACAGCTGTGGAATAATAAATACCAATATTTTTTTATCTAAGCTAGGAATAATTACGTTTTTTCGCATCAGAGTTAGAACATTTGACAGGCAAGCAATATTCATTGGATATTTGGATAATTAGTATATGATTATTGCACGCGGCTGTGCTAACCAGATACTCAGAAGGATGTTGGGACATCGCTCAAAATACCAGCAACCCACCGTCAGTCGCTCTATCGATTTTGCAGCTGCCTTCGATTCGATTGATAGAGCAGCGCTCTGGAAAGTTATGGAGTATGACGGTGTCCCGGAAAAGATCATTCGGCTCATAAAGGCATTTTATCAGCATACCATGATACATGTTTGTGTCTAAGGGAAACTGACAGACTGCTTCGAAATAAAAACTGGTGTCCATAAGGGCTGCGTCATTTTCTCCACAATATTTAACTATGCGATAGACTGGATAATAGGCATCGCTTGTCGGCACTTAAGGAGTTCAAATCAGTTCAGTGCACAGATTTTGAATAAGCTGATGATGTAGTCCTTTTTCCTGACAGTTATAATGAAATGCAAATAATGCTAAACAATGTATCAACTGCAACGAAAATTGGAATCAGAATTAATATAAACAAAACGAAAGTGTTTTCGTCTTATATAGAAGAAGCTGATAAAACATCTATTTTAATCAATTCATCCCTGGCTAAAGAAGTGCCATTTTAAACATCTTGGATCCATTCTAATTCCAAACGGCCAAGCGAAAGATGAAATTACAACCAGTCAGGAAAGATTTTTGAATGTATAGGAGAACCAGCGATATATGGGCTTAGACGATGGATGGTGACAGCTACAAGTGTGTTTTTCCGATTGATGAAACCTTTATGGAACTGTAGCGAAATCACTATAAAAACGGAAATCCGCCGAACAAGTAGTCGCAGTTCGTTCGATTTTGCTATGTGGCTGCAAGATATAGCCAATGAGAGTGGAGAATATCTGTCTTTAACCACTTATGTTCAAGATATACTAGACAGTGGAAAAAGGAATGGCTTCTATTACTACTAGCGATGGCGTCGGACCGAATAGCTTGGAGACATCTTGCCATTATACTCCGTGGAACCAGCCTAACCAGTAATGGTAAGAGCTGTTAGAAGAAGAAAATTATTGCTCATCTTCTTATCTTCCACTCAATTAAAACATCGCCGCATGCACAAATTATCCTTGCCCGACTTCCTTAACAGATTCTGAGTTGTTCTCTTGTTTTGAGAAACATTCTTTCTTTTTCTAGACCTAAATATATCACAGCAAGATTATAAATAATTATGATTTATATTATTAATGTTGAATGATGTTATGACGGCACACCGCAAAACACTTTAGAGACGACAACAATTATTTAAATACGAAATAAGATCAAGACAATGATGCCATTAAGTGAAGAAATACTTAGTAGTTGGGGAAAATATATATATATATATATGCAAAAGGCCCATCTTAGATTAATACAATAATAATACTAGGAAAAAGAGAGAAATTAACTCCCCTTGTATTATAAGTGAAATGACACGATAATGTCGATATCCATGTCGATTAACAACCAGTATTACAATATCTTTTCGCCATAAAAAATTATAAAAGTATTTCAAAAGATATATCACATCAATTGATAACGGCGATTCTTTTCGATTTGATCTTCGAATTTTTGCTGATCATTGGATGCTATTCGATTGCTATTTGATTCATAGCGTTCTGTAAGTTGTTTCATTTGTCGGAGGATCAAGTCTTCAAAACGATATTCAATATGTTCTTACGGGAGTAGATTATTCTGGTATTGTTTTTATTGCAAAGCTGATTGGCGTTCTTATATTCTTCTTCTAAAAGTTCTCTCCATTACTGGTTAGGCTGACTCCACTGGCTACATGAGTAAAATATCTCCAAGCTGTTCAGTCCGGCGCCGTTGCTAGTAATAATAGAAGCAATTCCTTTTTCCATTGTCTGAATCCATATATCGCTGGTCCCCCTATACGTTCAAAATCTTTCCTGACTGTGTCAGTCCAGGTCTTGATTGGCTCTCCTCGCTTTTGACACCAACCATCACAGGATTATAATTATTTTCTGCTCAAATTTTTTCATCGATGCATTATGTATTATGAAAAATATGAAAAATAGAACCAAATTATAAATGCAATTTATTTTTACTTTTGAAATTTTTTCATAAAAATTTTATTAATTCATTTTTATGAAATAAATGTATTATTTCAATGGAGGTTTATTAATTCGTGCTTTGTTGATCGAAAATTTGGCTTATTCTTTTTTGTCTCTCAGTGATTTTCTATCCGAATGGTGAGAACACTTCTACCATAGTAAATAAATAAATGTGCTTACCACTTCCGGTTAGATCCGCTCCACTTGCTATTAACAGGATCAGATAGTTTTACTACTATGGCATATTTGTATGGGCTGGCCTCAAGGATCACCATTATTAAAAACCATGATGTTCGAGCAGATAATCAATAATTTCATCAACGTAAATTTATAAATGTTCATAACTGGCGAACAATTTTATTCGTTATGAAGCATATGAATTGCATGTTAAGAAAAATTATTATTAATATCACATAAGATCATACTAAACGATTTTACAAATGGATTACTGAGCTTGGATTATTTAAATTTAGCTTTAAAAAAAGGAAAGATAATGTGCATATTGCTGAAATGAACAAAGCTATAGAAATTTGTTTATAATAAGATGCCAGAAAACCAGTCGGTTCACATAATTGAAATTAGAAACATGTTTTATGAGAAATTTTAGCAAATTCACTGAAAGATTCTTTTCATATTATATAATTAAAAATGAAAAAATAAAGAAATTTATAAATTTCGATTTTTAAAATGAAAATTTTTTAAATTTATTAATTTATTAAAGGTGCTAACTTGAAAAGCGACTGCCATAAAAAGATATTAGATAAAAAATATCACGACAAACTGAGGCAATCAAATTCTACTGGATATCTCCCAATTTTTCTAAACATCTACTTTTACATAAAGGTCTAAATTGGCTGGCTATTTGTTACGATCAGAAGCTTTCTCAGAAAGTCAGAATAGAAATGCAACAATAGATGGGTTTCCAGCACCACCGGGACTTCTTTAGTGACCAGTCTATTAATGTTTCCAGTCTATTAATTAAAAGGAATCGAAATGCTTAGCCTTGATTGGAGAAAAATACCATTCGCCTGTCATATCACAATATTTTATTAAGTATTTAGAAATATTTCTTCCATATAATACTTTTTTGTTAATTAATACTATAAAGTGCAATAAAAATTAATGCGAAAAGATTTATTACTCAAATAATAAAATATTCGGCCATAAATCGTTCGAAAATAATTTAAAAAGATCCTTGTTCTGCTTATTCGGCACAGAATTTGTTCCCAGAATACCATTTTTCCCCGTATATCCAAAGAATTGAAATTGAGTTGAAGCAATTCGTTTAGTTGACGGTATTTGCGGTATGACGGTTGTTCGCAGATATCTTTCTCCCTTCGCTGTCATTTTTCTTGGAGTTATTGTTTCTATTATTCTATTATCGGAAATTTTAATAAAACTATTTGTTGATCTTGAATTATTAATATAATTGCTAGTTTCATTATTCATGTAAATCGTTGACATGTGGCTTACAATCCAAAATGTCGATTCCATAGGAAGACTCGTTCTGTTACTTGTCCCATTAATTATATTCATTGGTCCAAGCTCATTTTCATTTATTGCATGATTTTGACTACTTTTTTCGTCAATTTTTGTAATTGCCGAATTTATCATCGCCAGCGCTCCTTCATTATCCAGATTTTGGCGTGCAAAAGTTTGCTTTAAAGATGGCTGATGACTGAACACAATTGGTTCTACCTTCGCTGAAGCGATTTTGCCTTCGTAACTCGTTTTATTGATAGCTGTGTAATGGCTTGTTACAACTACTAAATCGCGCTGATTATATTCGATATTTGATGAATTTTTGACAGTTATGATTAATTCGCTGGAATCTGAGAGTGGCTGTGTTTTATTAGCATCTCCTGCATATCCATAACTGACTGAATAATTTTCCTTATCTTTACCTACCTGTGGAATTGTCGTATTATGATGGAAATGTCGTTTAGGTGGTGATTTAATTTGGAGTAAGTTTGACATATGAAGTGGCATTGCTTTAGTAATTATTGGTGATGAAATATCTGATAAGGGCAAAGGAAAGGTTGTAGTTGCAGATGATTGATATTTTTGATGAATAGTCAATAAATAATTTTTATATTCTTTAATAGATTTGGTTGAACTGAATTGTTGAGCTTGTGCTGTTGATGAAATTATCCTTTGATTTTCGATCAACTTTTCGATAAAATCGCCGATTCGATCGAATTTAATTTTCATTAAGATAAGATCTCTATGTATTTTTATTAAAATTTTATACAAATTAGCTGTCAATGTATGATTGTTAATATATATATTTTCATAACTTTGGATCTGACTGGAAACATTTTCTAGCATTTTGGTTTCATTTTGATTACTCGATAGTGCTACGGAATTCATCAATTTAGATGTGTTAGTATGCTGGGAACGAATCTCTGTATCTGAACCTGTTATCAATTTTTGGCTTGTTGTTGTTGGCTCTTGATTGATCAACGGTATTTGCATATCATTACTAATATTTTTATTTAAATGGTCATTATGAATCAAATCTTGAGGCTGGATAGTAATGTTGATAACGTTTGAACCACAAGGATATCTTTTAATATGGCCGACTTCAGTCTCAGATGAGAATCGATTTTTATAAAAGACTCTTACTGGGACTGGAATCCACTCTGGTATATTTTTTGTTTCGACTTTTTTTTCTTGTGGTAGCTGAATTATTTCATCGTAGAGTGGTTCAGCACTATTATGAAGTTCTGAATTCCAGCCGTAATCAGGAAATGACGCTGTTTTTGGAAAAAAATATTGTCCAATCTGAATTTGCCGTTTCGATGCTGAAATATTATTTAGTTTATAGTTTTTATGAACAGAGTACAACATTTAAACGATCCTTAAAAATAAATGTATAAAAAAAGTTTTAAATATATTTAAAAATGTTAAATGTGGGCTTAAAAGTTTCTTTGTAAATTATTAATTCTTTATTAGTTATTAAAGTTTTCGCTGGACCTGTTTCTCTCTTAGATTTAAAAAACTCAACATAAATTGAGATATAACGTTGCTTTGTTGATTGTAACAAATATTTTCTTTTTGTTTCGATCAGAGGCAATGGACTGAAGGTGGGCAGTTTCTCTAAACCAAAACTAAATGGTACAATTTTTTCGTACCATCAGCTATTGGTACATGGTAGAATGAACTACCCGAAATTATTTTTGCCCTCACTAAATTATTTAAATGACATTATTTATGACATTGTAATAATAATCTAGTTCTCATCTTCTTGAATTTTTTTCGCTTTTTCTATTTCTTAAGCGAAAATTTTAATATTCATTATTTTTATTTTTGTTTGCCAGTTTTTAATTAATTTGAATTCAACATGACGCACTGTATTCCTCTCGAATAAAATTTTTTGTTATTGTTGAAAGATTAACGATTGATAAATACTCAAATAACTGCCAAGAACTTTGTTCAAATTTCCAAAAATGCCAAAGATTTAAAATGCATAAATTTAAACTGTGGAATTTCCTTCCTCTCAATTACGAATTTATTTAGGTAGTCATATAGGACGCTTTTATGAAAGGCTTTTCCACTACCTTTACAATCGAAGCAAAAAAAAGCGAATGAAATCAATTTTTTTCATTTAAGGTCATAAATGACCTAATAAATTTAACTTACTTGATTCTCCATTACCAATTTGATAATAAAGCAATATTATAGATACAGCTTGTTGAATCATTTGAATTCTGCGCGGGTATCTGTGGAACCCATAAAAAGTATTTCCACAAAACGATAATCCTAAATAACTCTAAAAAATAACGCACCAAGAATTTAACAATATGCCAACTTTTGATTATTCATAACAAAAAAGAGATATCTATTAAAATATTAGAACAACAATTTTAGCGCTAAATTTATCAAAAAATAAAATTAGTAAAAATAAATTAATAAATTATTATTGAAGGTGAAAAAGTCAAATTTTAAAAAAACAATAAAACCAAAAAATTTTAAAACTTCAAATTTTGATCGAACAAAAATAACAAATCATGGACTCGATCCAGTGAAATGAAGTAGATAGAAGGCAATCGAACTCGCTTTCTCAACTATTCATTTTATTTTCTGGCCAAAATCCTTCCTAAATTGTCATTCAAACGCAGAAATTGTTAAGAAGTGGATAATTTTTTTCCAAATTGCTTTTAAAAGAACTAGTTTGCGCTAAAAAATATACTAAAGGAATGACAAATATCATTTTTTTTCCATCGTTTTATGCAGGAAAAAATTCACATTAACGCCGCAATTTTGAATTGCAAAGTTTTTTTTGCTATTTCGGCAATTAGGAAGAAAGGCCACCACTAAAAAGCATTGATAAGCATGAATTTCGTTGTTTATACAAAATATGATCCCGGAGTCCTTTTAAAACACAGTTTAATAAAAATTCACCATGTTAGCTCGTTAGATTGAACGTGGATTTTGCCTATCATACTAAATCTAAGAAAATACGTTGAAATAAAATAAGCCTTTAAGAAAATACCTAAACTGTAAAATAAAAGCCAACACAAGGAATGAGAAATGAGAAATTTAGAATAGCCAGTTGTATAGTTATGGAAGAAAATCCATAAGAATCACTAATCTTGAAGAGGCCAGCAGCAATTATTATCATTAAAAAGTAATTTTTATAGATAGAGCGTAAAATTAATCGACTTATTTTGACGAAATGGGGCATAGTGAAAATTGGAAAAAAACTCTACTCTTTTAGATCAAGGAGGATGGAAGGATGAGAAGGATAAAAGGAAAATGAAGTTTATTATTAATCACGGATTTATTCTCAATATAGAGAAATCTACCGAGTGAAAAGGCAAAGAAATTAATGATGCAGTGAATTTTATATTTTTTCATTTGCCATCAGTAATTTGAACTCCAACAAAATCTATAATATCTCAATAATAATAAACCGAGGACACCTGGCTATTGTCCTGTCCATTAAAAATATTAAGCTAAAATACCTGTCCATTGAAATTGAAATCGTTATTTTAGCTTTTAAAAAGTACAAGTGAAAAATAAAATTAGTAAGAAATACGATAAGCCATTATAATTTTAAATATTTTTGTACAGAATGATAACAACTAATAACAACTAATGATAATAACTAAATATCGGTTACATTAAATTTTATAGCGAATATTATGGGCAAAGATAAGTAAATAAAAAAATGCGTAACATTTACCATTTCCCCTTAAGTTCACTTCGCATCATCGATGAGACAGTTTTATAAAAAATCACTTGAGAGACGCACTGGTAGGTCGCCACCCGGTACCTTGATTATTGTGAAAGGCACAGTTTTACCTCTCCTGCCTTTTAATGGCACAAATGGACAAAATTGGTGCAAAATCAGATGTGCAAATTCTTACCTTATTTTTATTTAGTATGAAATTTTTTATAGCATATAGATTTTCAAATCGAGATTAGAAAGCGAATTAAGCTATTTATCCATATAATTGTAGTAAAATATATTATATATGAGGAAATTAAAGAATAAGAATAAATCAATGTAAGGCAGGATTAGATGAAATTTTTCGTCTTTTGGATTTATTTCTGAACGTTACAAAATAGGTTTAGCTGGGCCCCAACTATTTGAAACAGATAAGGCCTTTTCACAACAATAAAATTACAAGTAGGCCCTCAAAAATTTTAAAATTCTCATATAAATATAACATGTGTTGATTAGTCATATGTTCGAAAGAACAAGATTTCCAAATGTGGATGCTAATAACTGCATTAAAATGGTGCAATATGAAAATAAATCCGTCGCACCATTTCTATTACTTTAATAAAAAAACATTGGTCTAGTGTTATATGAGATGTGATTCGGCTCTAAAGAGTACTCTTAATAAACAATGATCGCGTCTCGGATTCGTATCTACAGCAATATTTGTAGATCAAGTTTTCGAACGAATCGCATATTTAATAGTTCTTTTTACGATAATTGCATGCGAGGAGTGCTCGATTGCTTCGTTTGGGACCAAGTATCGCAAGTACGATTTACTTTATTTATTGGAGATTAGAGACAAACTCATTATTAAAAGTAAAATCAAGCTAGTCTTGAAGACTTATCTGGGCTTCTGCTTCCATGTGAGAATTTCTTTATGTCTAACCAAGAAGCCTTACCAGTCGAATCAACTGAAGTGGAAAAGATTAATGCTATTCGAAAAGAAATAGAAAAAATATGAAGGAAAGTGTATAAGAAAATTGCATACCTTCATTTACTTAAATTAAACATATTTGGAAAGCGGTGAAAGCACTTTTTTCACAATATTTTATATTTGAATGTGAATTATTTCGAAAACATTGTTTTTCCAATTTTTTCTGATTAATTGAATCTGATTTTCTGATTAATTCAGTGATTTCTTTAAAGACACGTTTGTTGCCGTTTTAAATTTGATGATTTCCCACTTTTGATAATATATCTGCTGAATTACTAAAGGAACCAAAAGCATAAGTTTTAAAGACGAGATAGATAGATTTTTGGCTTAAAGGTAATTATTCAGATTTTTACTTTGATTGCAAAACACTCGATAATCAGATAAAGATATAATCGAAGGATAAATCTCATTTGAATACAAATTTGCTGAAGAAGTTCGAATTGTTTTTAGGTCTTTCAAAAAATTTGGACCACTTTGTATCCTTTATTTTCAAGGACCATGACTTTTTAAAAGCAATATTCCTATTAAAAACAAGGACCTTTACAATAAACTTATTTTTGCAGAAGTGCATTTAATCTATTTGCATAAAGGTCCCAGTTTCTGGAGCCAATAAACTGCTAGAAAATATCAAAATCCTATTTATTTTTGGAATATTTCTGACTGAGGTTTTCAAGATGGTGGAAAAAATGAAGAAGGCTTGCTGGCTTGTAAAAATTTGCAGTGTATGGTGAATGGGCGAGGATTTCGATAATTGGCAAATTTCTGCAAATTTGCGAGATGACGTTACCGTGAAAAATGATGGGATCTTCCCTGTTCACCAGCGTTGATAGTTCGTGGCTGGTGGTGAACTCTTTCTAATTTTTTATTGTCACGACTCTACTGCTCTACACCAGAAGAAACTACAGTGAATCATACCTGCAATAGACACTAAACATCTTGAACAAAAATTAATTTTTAGCATGGACCAAAGGATTAAAGAATCCCGAAATTTACTTTTAGTCGCAAGCCGTTCAAAAATTCGTTCAAAAAAGAACCGTTTTTGTCGTAATAACATCAGTTCCCCAAGCCCTCTTCTGGTGCTCAATCAATTTCATTAACCTTTTTTTCTTTACTGCACATGGAGGCGATTCACAACAATACCAAAGTAAAAGTAAAAGCCGGCATCTTCATAATTTCTTCTGAGACTAATTCAACCATTTCTTTTAACCATTTAGAAATTCTTTTATGGAACTTAGAAGCACAGGCTCTTTCGAAATTCATATTTTCCGAACCGAACTTTACGAACTATTTTTTCAAATTTCTTTCGCACGATTTAAAACTTTGCTATATTAATTAAAATGCATTAACACTTAATTTATAAGTTTTTACTTCATCTAATTAAGTAATAATAAAACCGAAAAATATATTTCAGCCTAAAAGACAAAGTCTATAAATAGTTTTCTCTACTATATTAATATACTAAAAGCGAGTGTGTATTAATAAAATAGATCCTTCGCATGTAGAAATCATAAATGGTGTCAGTGGTGCCATTCCAGTTGTGTGAAAATCGCCATTTCTATGTACGATTAATTAGGCGCTTTATGGTTAATTTGTTTCATATAATTTTTTCATTCACACTGTTAATTACTATAATAGACTATAAAGTAATTTGAGCCTTCTGTATATTTTAAGATAAATTAAATAAATAAATAAATTATCACGATTTTAAAGAAAAGAATTGGAGAGGAAAAGATTTGTAAAATATTAATAAAAGAATAATTTTTTGAAACGCGATTTTATTATAACATTTTTTAAATTCATAACCATGCGATCTCCCAAAGGAAATTGTCAATCTATAAAAAGCATTGTTGAAATTAATCTTTTAATTTTAAGGGGGATCATCTCGCCTACCAAACAAATTCCAGCAAACAAACTGCGATGAGGCGATGAGAGCCGTGCATTCTGAACGCAAATGCCTAATTTCGCTTATTTAACTGCATTTCCTTAGTCTTACTCTTTTGTTTTCAGCCATTTTTTAAAAACATTATTATTACTGTATTATCATATTTTATCACACGTCAAATTTTTTCAAATTTAGTTTCGAATTTTTTTGTCGATTTTTTTAAATAAAAGATTTAATTACCCAATATTTTTGCCTTTCCTTATACGCAAGCGACCATTTTAAGTGAGAAAACAAGCAAAATCCATGTGGCAGACAAGCAAGTCTTACGAAAATCAATCTATCCACAGAGTGAGCTAAATATGTTTCTATCCGCTGAATTTACTATTTTGTAAATGTATGAATTACTTTAATTTATTCCATATTCTGATTAAGGGTTGATTACCGCATGATGATGATAAAGTAATTTTTCTATCAGTTTCAAGGATTTTTATGAATAAAAACACCTTAAATTCACTATTGGATATCTAAACGTTAAAAGGATTCAATCATTACGATAGAAATTTATGATCATTCATTTTTTCGAGAAATGCTTATGAAAATTGGATAAATGGTGATTAAATGATTAATATGATTAATACCACATAGTGAAATCTTCTGTGACAATAGGCGGTGAACCGAAACCGAGTTCTTCGAAAACTTTAGTCGTTTTCGCCTTAAAAGTTTCTTCATCCGGAAAATTTTTTCCGCCACATACGAGAACCTAAAACAAAAAAATTATAAAGAAATTTTCAAATCATCTGCAAAGATTACTCAAAGCAGAAGACTGTTATATTATTTTCACCATTTACAATCTTCTGGACCAGTAAAAAAATTTTTTATGATTCTAATTATGTAGCTGAATCATTAATTCATGAATAGAATCAGTTAGAAAGTTCAAATCGTTTTCAAAATTCGTAATCGTTTTGATGATCTTCGGCAAAAATAAAATTGAAATATGGGTGGTGCGACCAAGTCGCAAGCATTTCTATCTCCAGCTGATTTTCAGGTGAAGAAGTTTTACTCTAGAAGACAATAGCAATGAAATATCAATTCATTAAACTGAAAATGGTGATCAGAAAAAAGAACAATTATTCGTCGGTAAAATAATCAATTTAGAGTGATAAATCTCTAATTAAATGAACCCGATTCAGCATAACAAAAGAGTTGAGCATAAATATACAACGATTGAAAGTCTTCTTATATAAGGCCATTATCTGAAATTTTATAGAAGAACCAGCAAAAATCAATAATTAAAGAAAATTGAAAAAATTGCTGTTCATTAAGAAAGTGATAGAATGTGGTGACTGAATGCTCACCTCTGCAGTTTTTTTGGGACTAGTAAGTAGCAATGATACGATGACCACACCTGCAAAAAGTACTTTACAAAATGTGTATGAAGTTCTACTGGCTACTTTTTCTTTTTTTTGTCTTATTAAGCAATCGCCTAAGTAAAATGTTTCCTTTCATATTCCATTAATTAAACGACTGGTTGAATTTTTGAATAAGTAGACAATAAGTTGACAAAGAAATTCAATTTATGGATTTTTAAAATAATAAACCAGAAATACCATTTTCCTTCAAATTTGACTTTATTAGGTTCATATTATCGTATTCGCAAAATTCTTTAACAGGACAAGATAGTCCATCCTTAAATTGACTATAACAAGCATCAATGAATATTGCATCGAAAATAAGTTTTTCTGAAAAATAGATAATTTGGCGCTAGTAGGTTAAGTAGTAATTATAGATTTAGAGAAAATCATCAGACTATCATTTCTTCATGTGGTGAAAATGAATGTGATTATTGAAAATTCTAAAATTTCAAGGTGACAATTCGACTGGCTTCTATACAGCTTGGAAAAATAGTTTAAGTGTCACACACACTATTTTCACGAAGGTATTTCATGCCATCGCTGATAATCACTCGCTGTCGATCATCTTCAATTAAACCGAAGTATTTCTTTGCTATATCAACCATTGTTTTTTCTATTTCAATAATCGTTATATTAATCTAAAATTAGGGATTCTAATCATCTTCAAATGTATCACTTTGATGCTATTTAATTTTTGGTTACATATAATCATACTGAGAAATGTAAGATAAGCGAGTTGTCATTGCCCAGGTTATCATCAAAGTCCAGATTTTCCATCCCGTTGGAATAAATCTATCACTAAAAATTTCCAGATGATATTGGCTACCCATTCGATCGTCAAATGAGTTCTCTACCATAGATTTCGCATCGTAGGGAGCCCATGGAGCCAGCCTACCAGAAATGGTGTAATCAAATGCTGTAATCAAATTATTAGTTGAAACCACATTTTGTTGCAACCGAACCAAGCACTATGTCTTCTTATTTCTTTTATTTCTTTTGTTTTTAGGCATTCGTCATTTCTGGTTTAGTTAGCCTTACCAGCAAGTAAAGCAAGAGAATCTTTTACCAAAAAGGCAGTTGGGGGTAAGAATTCCGCATCGTCGCAAAATATTTTTAATTAAATTGAAATAAATAAATTAAATTAATGAAATTAATTTATTAATTAAATTTATTCATTTAACTTAGCTACGCCATATTCTCTATTTATATTTCATTGCATCCTACGATTATTTCTGGATTTCGAAAGATTAATACAAGAAAATGGACTCAAAATCTGAAAAACTTATTACTATAAAAATACTCACTAATAAATGAGAGAACAACTTGCATTTCTTTCAATTATTTCTGTATTTAAACAAACATTTGTAAATCTATCATGCAGAAAGCTATTGATAATTCCAATACCAAGACCAATTGAAAGGGAACTGAACTGTTCGCTGGAATTGCCAAAAGTTGATGTTACGAAAGGAGCAGCTATCATTGCTTTTAGATACAGGATAGTTATTTGAATATGGTTAGCACTAAGCTTTCGAGTATCCAGTGAGTTGCCTTTTAAATCTGCAGAAGAATCAAATCAAATTCTCATTGACTTATTTAATATTCAACACTGATTTGAATGCTGAAATCGGTTGCTGAATTTGAAAACTCCAATACAAGATTTTCATACAATTTTAATAAAATTCGAAACAAAATCGTTTGCGATATTGATGAAATTATTTTTCAAAGGACACTTACCTTCAGGAATTTTAAGATGCATAGAAGCCACTATTCGAGAGCCGAAATTTTCAATGGTCATTTGTCGCTCAATAGTTATGCTGAAAAATTTGTGTTTTGCATTTATTAGTATCGGCTGTTATATTACTAATAAAGAAAAGTACTTAAGGATACAAAAACTTTAGAAAACTCAGACATGACCTGATGGAAAATAAAAAAATAACGAAAAACTTATATGGGCTTAAGAAGTAACGAAGGACACAATGCAGTTCAAAGTTGTCTGAAACAATGTAACTGGTTTTAGGAGTTGCTAGTAGAAAAAGCTGAATGGCTATGCCATAGAGTTTGGATTTGTGAAAGTTCGATTAGAAAATTGTGAAGAAACTTGAAACATGGCAAGGAAATTTAATTTGAGATGGTTTGATAGGACTTTAATATAAAAGGAAGTGGTAGAAATAGCGGGTGAGAGTATGGTAAAAGTGGTGGTTAGCGCTCATCATTTCAGCTTCACTGGCTATTAACATAATTAGAAATAAACCAGAAAATCATTTGGCGATAGAAGTACCGCTTATTCGAATTTTGTAATGACAGGTTTATTTCCGCTGAGATTATAAAAGGGCCTGTAGCTTGCCTCTGCGCTATTCTCGCTTAACTTAATAATCCCTCAGCAGTTCAGAAATCTTTTTCATAATTTGCAAAAATAGTTAAGCAAACCTAATATTAGGTTCTATAGATTGAAGTTTTAGGAGGTATCGTGCTTCTCTTGCTATCGTAAAATAGATTTAAGCTTAGCCTTTAATTGCCAATGTTACTTTAAATAGATGATTTTAAAAAGTTATATGAACCTCGAAATAAAAAGATTTCTTCAGTAGATTTCTACCAATTATTTTAATTAAATTTTGAAATAACAAAGTGCATAACAGTAAATTATCCATAGCACGGTAAATCCACAAATTTGTTATCTATTGTATCTATTGTCTCTTACATTTTATACTAGTTAAATTAAAGGAAAAGGGAATAGTCTTTACTGAAATCTCAGGCAAATAATAAATGAGGAACCAATAAACAACGAATGCGATTTGTCGTAAAATTTTCGAGTAAATCAGGACCACTTACCTTCCATTTAAATGTCTTATAGCTTCATCGCGGATATTGAAAATGCTTCCATCCATTTTAAAATTTTCCATTGGTAATGTTACTATATGCGCAAAATCCATATCCAGAGGTTTATAATTTTCAGTGAAAGAAGTGATTAATCGCTAAAAAATTGAATCGAATATTGGTTACGAAAATTCAAATTTTGATGTTTCCTAGTCAACAAAATGTGTTGAAAATATGGCTATTGATTGTCACATTAAAAAAAAAAAGTATTTTATATAATAAAAGTTTTTTATGTTTTATATATATACTTTTTCTTCTTTAAGAGTTTGCACTGTTACTGGTTAAACTCGCTCCGCTGATTTGTCGCACTGGAGAAATATGCCAGAGAGTCCCTTGGCGATAGAAATACAGGTGAGTCACCAGAATCACCCTGATTTATATATATGTATATATATATACTCACCAAACTAAGCGTAGTTTCTTCTTACTTATTTCTTCTAGTTCCTTCTATGGTGCTTAAGCTCTAGCCCCTATTTATATTTCTAAATTAAAGTTATATAATCTTGATTCACTGAAGGTTAAAAGAGAAAAATTAAAAAATAGAGGGTCCAGAGGCACTATTTGCAAGGCTCTCTTGGGCTATTCGATCTAAATGTTCCAATTGTTATGATTTTAACTGGAACGCTACCAGAGATAAAGGATTGAAGCTATGTAAGCCAATAATTTATAGAATCAATTTTCTGTCCCACAGTTTTTTCGTTCAAACTACTGGAATATTAGATAATGGAATAAATTGCCTCATAATATGGTCCTTGCTCCAACTATCTGCAGTTTTAAAAGAAATTTCGACAAGATCACCTACAATACACCAAAAACAATTTGCAGCCTCGATTCAATGTTGAATTTAATTTTGTTTTTGTATTTCTTTTCGTTTTACCTTTTATTATTTTAATCGCTTCACTTACTTCTGCTTTGACTTCATTTGATATCAATAATTACCAATGCCCTGGATTTCTGAATTTATACGCTGACTACTTTATGCTTAAATAAATATTGGAAAAATAGATCTGATTTATACTTAAATAAATAAATTTTCTCAGAAATTTCTCACAAATGATAACGCAGTTTTCTACTGCTTATTGCTTTTATAAAAATTTATTAATTTTTTGAACTTACAAGAATAAAGAACGCAGAAAAAGAGCGAATCATTGCGTGAAGAATGCGAAAGATGAATCGCCTCGTCGAATTTTCTATTCAAATCTCAATTTATCGAAATTTTTGGCGAAAACGACAAATTTATTTCCAGTGAAAATATGCAAATTTGTTAGATAAATGCAATTTGTTGGATTTTCAAATATAATTTTTCATAAAATGAAAAAATCACATTTAATTCTTAATGAATAGAAATGAACAGCAAGATTTATTAAATTTTAACAATTAGAAGTCTTTTTTCAGTTGAACAAAAGGGTTTTAAATAAAGGAAGAAAGTGGACAAAATCCTAACTCCTGCATCTCAACGCAGTAGTCTTAACCAATATTCATGCGGTTATATTCCGTCTGATTCGATATTTATTTATTCCTTTATTTACTGTTTTATTTGGATAATTGAATAAATTCACTGGAAAAAATATCGATTCACCAGTACCCGATTTATCACTTTCAATTTCACTTTACCATCTAAATTCCAGACAGTGCTACGAATTTTTAAAAATGACATTACCCTTTGAATCAGTTCCAAGTTCAATTTGAAGCGATTTTTACAAATTTTAATTTTAAATATAACTGGTTTTAAAATAATATTAACTATTCCTTTTCACAAGATCATTATTGACCGAAAAGAAAGTCTCCCTGAAGAATGCTATTATAAAATTTCAGCGAAAATTTCACATAAAAAATAGCATTATTTTGTTTGCCAACACTATTTATGAACAGGTTATGGCACCTTTTAAAAATTTTTTCTTAAATTCAGTTTTAATAAAAAGTTGTGAAAAAATTACGACGAATTCATCATTAAAAGTTCTACTATGAGAAATAAGCAAGAATTTTTCAAATTAACGAGTGAATGCCATACAATTCTTACGAAACTGTTTCGTCTAAAGTTACTAGATTTTTTTCACTTAAAAAGAGGAGCTTTTATTGAAAGTGAAGGTAAGCGAACACCTCCCAAGTGTCTCTTTTAAAAAGATCTCGTCTTGATGTTCTTAAAACAAAATGTGCTGCTGCAAAAAAGAGGATCAATGTCCAGAAAATCGAAATATTCTCTTATGATTCTTAGAAATTTGTGGCTAATGACGAAAAAAATTAAAATTTTTTTACGAGGAGGAGGCCCTTTCTAATTATATAACTTCTAATTTTATGAAATAAAATATAAATTGGAGAAAAAGCAAATAAAAAGCGGTAAATAAATAAAAATAATAAAATAATAATAATAAATAAATAATAAAATAAATAAATAAATAAAAAGGAAGATGATGGATGTTATTAATAACTTTTTAAATGTTAACCAAATAAATTGAATGCATTGACAGTCTTCGTGATGAAGCAGTTTTGCTCGAAAACTAAATTTTAAACTTCCAACAAGTTCTTCTTTTCCTAACAATACGCTGCAATTCTGGTTTAGTTGGCTCCATTCATTATTAGAAAGAAACTCCTTTCTATGTTTAAAAATATATTCAGAAATTACAACATTTTAAACTGTGTAAAGATATTAATCAAATACCATTAATTATAATATAAAATTATTTCACTTGCTATTAAAATTAAGAATTTACGGTAATTATTCGAATCGATGGTTATTTTTTAACAAAAACCAGGAATCTTTGAGACTTTTCTCCCTAACTACCAAGTTCGCCATACCAAAGATGCTAATCATTAATACTTTTTTTGTAAGATTCCTCACCATTACTGGTTAAACTCGGCTAGCTTGTCGCACTGGACAAATATGCCAGGGAGTTCCTTGGCGATAGAAGTACAGATGAATCACTAGCATCACCCGGATTTTTGAGCAAGTTTACTTCTGCGGGAAGCTCAGCATTGGCATTCAGGATTGAGCAGTAATGCATTGAGCCATTCTATCCCCAATCATAAATGCAAATTTAAGAATAACCAATTTCTCGATTCTAATTTGCTTCATTTGTTTTCATAAATTCCTTGTTCTTTTAACACAATAGTTCCAGCATCAACTGATGTAAAAGGCAATTTATATCAAAAATGAAAATAAATATTTCTTTCAACCAATGTCAGTGCTTGGAAGGCCAAACAATTCTTTATATACTGCGTTTAAGTTATATTCAAAATATATTCAAACTTCTCAAATGCAATATATTGCGATCGATGCAGTTCATAACCTGAAGCAGAAATATAATAAACCAATAAAGGGAACATAGAAAGTGCGTAAATAACACAGTAGCAGCATTTTTAGTTTTAACCTAATTTCACTACTGATTGCTTAGAGATAGTGTAGTTAAGTCCCAGCATTACTTTGATTTTATGTTAAATGATAAGGATTATTCTTTTCAAAAACGAACAGCTATGCTGCCTGGACTGATAATTCTAAGCCATATATTATAATCGGCAAAGCTCGAATTAGGACATTTGCGATATTTATTTCTTGTTTACGCTGTAGAAAAGTGTTTATAAACTGTAGGAAATAATTGTTGTAAAAAATAAATTAATAAAATTGTTGATTGGAAGCAGTGGGATGGATGCTCATCTGCCACACGTTGGTTATATTAGAATAATCGTGATCCGACTGCTTTCTCAGGGCAGTAGGATAAGAATTGTTCACCGCATGAATTGATAAAATCTTTATTCCGTTACCTCAAACTCAAACTCGGATAAATAAACCAATCAATATATAGTTATATGAAAAACAATAAAAACAATAGTAAAAAACAATAAAAAGAACACAAATTAAATTCGGAGACTAAAAGGATAACATCGCAAACAAATAAGGAATGATAAAACAATATAAAGTATGCAAAATAACAAAGTAAATTGAATATCGAAACATTGGGACCCAACCGCTCCAGCCCCTTGATGGCAGCAAAATAACAATTTTCTTGAAAAAGTTATCCTTTATATGAATTGACCTCTATTCTTTATTGACATACGTGAAGATAAGGAATTAATGAATAAATAAAAGGCTTTATGGTGGGCCGGGGTCACTATTTCGAAATAATAAATTTAAAATAATAGACTGCATTTCGCGACAATTGCTGAAATATTGAAATAAGCAAAATATTTCGATAAATTTTTTTCCTATATTTTTTTGATTGTTGTTTTTACGATTTTCATATTCTTTTCTTTTTATTCTCGTCTCATTTAATTTCTATGTTTTTTTGATAATTTTGAAGGAATTTTTTTATATTCATTGCCTAACAATTATTTGGCAGCTAATGACGACATTAATGACACGGCAACAATAATAAAGTGTAGAGTAGAATGGCTCCGTGGGCGCTCCCATTTAAAAGTGCCAATGCACCAAGAGTAAACAAATTAGGCGAGCTAGCCTAACGAGAATGCCAACGCTCTTCGAAAAAGAAATGACGAACAATGTAACAGTGATAAAATAACAGTAAAACTCAACAATTGATGGAAGAAAGCCTGCTTATTAAAAGAGAATTTTGAATAATGGAGTCGAATCACATGTATATTTATCCTCAGAAAACTTTCTGGCAATGTCTCCTAAAAGATTCAGCAAAACCAGAATGTGCTAATGAATTTGGAAAAAAAGAATAAATGATATGCTATTCTGAATTTTTAGAAACACCTTATATGAAAATAATGGCAAAAAACTGATTCTTACCCACCGTCTGCACTGAATGAAATCTTTTATATCGATGATTTTGTAGTGAGTAGAATCAATTATAAATGAAGCAACTTGCGCATATGACAATTGTTGATAATTGATACTGGTCGTAATATTTGTTTCTATAACTAATAGGTCAACAAATTTCATTTCTTTATGTTTTGAAAAATTTTTGGCTAAATTTTTACTAAAGAATATTATTTTGATCAAATTTGAGCAAATCAACCGGATTCTCGCCCATTTTAAATTAAATATAAGCTCCCAAAAGATCAATTTTGGTCATTTTTGTGTTTTAATAGGGGAAACGAGTGAGGGAGCGGTGGGTAAGTGATGGGCATTTAGTTTTTATATTTGATTTCTTTGACTTTTGTATTATTTCGCTGGACAATTTATTTTCTTCGCTTTATTTTCTTGTATATATTTGCGTTTTTACTAATAAAGGTTTAATTACTCAAGTTTGAGGTTCGCAACGAGAAAAGTAAGAAATAGAACGCTGGCCGCAGAGTAATATTGATAAAAAAGAAAAGTCCCGAAAAAGAAAAGAAAAGTGGTATGAAAGTTAAATCTATACAGAAAAAGGATAGTGGAGCGGATTCCCAAAAGGAATTGTTATAAAGATAGATTATTGAAAGGGAATCGCCGTGCTCCCAATGAAAATTCCGTACGACTATAAAAAATTTCTTCCTTTTCTATACAATAGGGTTGAATATATGTGTATGTACATATAGCAGTACCAAGTAATAAGAACATTAGGAAGCAGGAGAAATTAGAGAAATACCAGAGGCTGAAAAAAGAATTAGGGATGTGGAAAATAAAGGCCATAGTAGCGTTAGGATCTGCAATTCCTCGACTAGAAAAATGGCTTCAACAGATTCCACGAACTGCAACAGAGATCTCAGTTCAGAAGAGTGCACTGCTAGGAAGAGCTAAGACTGCGCAGAGCCTCACTCTACCAGTCCTTCGCTACAGGACCCGAGGTTGAGAATGGCCCTCACCACCCATAGGTGTGAAAGGGTTAGCATTTGCAATTTCAAATTAAAAATTTTGATTAAACGATTTGGCCTATAATTGAATAAAGCACTTCACTTCTGCAAACATCATTATATTTAATGCATTATATATTTAAAATATTTAATTTTTATTTAATTACATATTGCACATGTACTTATGATTGAATTTAGACAAATATTATTAATGGTACTTTTTAAATCAGCACAAATACAAATTTCTTTGGCTCAGTTAGAGATGTGACAGGCCGTCCTAAATCTTTGCCCTTCGTTGGACGGGCCAATTCGATAACAAAGCCGCGAAGGTACTTTTTCTACAATTGTTTATACAATTTATACTACCAAATATAGCAATTTATTATTTTAAACTTGCTATTCTTGAATCGATATTCGAGAATAATCTTATAAACAATAATAACGATAGTAATAAATAAGTAATCCGAAATATAATAATGTGTAAATACTAATACTAAAATAAACATGTAAATGTGGAACTCTTTTTCTTTTTCAAATTCTTTTTCAAATTTCGTTTAATTAAATTAAATTAAATTAAAATAATAAAAACAATAGCGTTCTTCTTCACTTTCTAAACGCTTCAAACCTGTTTTTTTGATTCGATCGCCCTATTTATTCGAATAATTTAAAAATTGGAAATATCGTATAAATAAGAAACTAATTTAGTTAATTTCTTATTCTGCTGATTTATAGATTTCAGGATTTTGCAATAAACTGAAATAGCTATTCCATGCGAATTCAGCAATGAGTGAATTCGGAATGGATGTATCTGTCACAGAGAGGCAAAAGCATTGCCTATTTTCAGAAATTCCCTCCTTAACTTCTTTAAAGTCCTCGAAAAGTGTAATATTTTAAAGTGACATTTTTAAAAAACCCAAAATCCACGTAAATCGCAAGCAGCGCAGTTTCCTGCTGGTGAAATGTTCGCTAACAAATTTGCATAAACTTTATGAAGTTCTTATTTCAGCCAGTGGTAAGTATGTCACTGATAAGTGTATTAGCTGATCTTTGATTAGAATTCAACAGGATGATTCAATGATGGAGTCATTCGAGGTCAGAAACAGGGGTTCGCCTTCGAGGCCTTTCCTAATTTATTCCTACTGGGAGCGCCGAACCACACGATATCACTGATGAACCAGTGCGATATTCTGCCTCCTTCCAAGCTCTTAATACAACCGTGACCCCTTTGTGTGTGTTTTCATTGCACAGTTAAACCTCGATACGATCAACTTACAAGTGTACCCACGGCTCTAAACTATTAAACCATGGCCGATCATTATAAGTGATAGTTATTAGTTCGTACCTGACCGAAGCTCAGAGTACCGAATTATCGAAATACCGAATATAACTTACAATGTAGAGAAGAATGTGGTTCTTTTATGCCATCCGCGGATTTAAAACCTAAGGAGCTGCCGTCTTTAAATTTTTCGGTGGATTTTATTTAGTTTGCCAACGTTAGGATTAATGTTTCGCTGAAATGCGACATATCAAAGAAGGAAAAAGAACGGCGGTCGGTGGACGGTAAATTTTTTATTTATTTAGTGAACGAAAGAATAAGTCGAACGAAGCGATCGTCGATGAGGGAATGAAATTAAATTTGGAATGAAGTCGCCGGCGATTCTTCTCGCACGAGAACTACCGAAGATGCGAGCAAATCAGATTTTAAGCACTTATAATGGTTGGCCAAGCAGCTTTTCGGTGGGTCTTCGGGAACGCTCGCTGAAATGCTTCGTCGAATCAGTTAGGCGCTCCGCAATGGTTAATAACCGTTGGCGTGGGGAAAATCCGAAACCTGCCGTCTTAAATCCCTTATTTGGGACAGACTCGCTGCATCGCTGTGCCACTCACTTAAAAAGCCGTTGAAAGCGAACGGTCGAATCTGCGATACTTCTACTTGAGAAAAGCACGCAGCAGTCGTATTTTCTTAGCGGAACTAATATAATTCCGGGCAGCTGCAAGTGGAGTGAGAGAGGGTTGCCGCATAATTGCAACACAACATAATTCATATTTTAATTAATTAACATTGAAAAATTAAGTATTGCAGGCTCAGCTAATTAGTAGTGTCGTTGTTGTGGTTGTTGCAAATTATTTGTGATTTATTAGAATGCGGTTTTTCGTGGGCTTTCAAACTATTTTCTGGCTTTTTTTTCAGGTATAAGAAAGATTTGTTTAAATTTTTCAGCTTTTCCTAACATTTTAAACTTATTTTGTTTTCAGCTGTTATTTTCCATTACGTGAGATTATTGGTTATTTTGCTTTAATTATTCGGTATAAGGCTGATGATTAGTATTATTAATATTGTTTGTATATATTAATAGATTTTGACAAAACTTTGACTTAAATTTCATTAAAGCATTTGATTTAATTATTTAATTATTTAATTTTAAATAATTTATCAATTAATTCTATGAATATAAAAAAAAGGATATTTTCAGATGTTGTGGTGAGTTGTAATTGTTTGGAAGGTGGGCATCTGCTTCATCATTCCGCTGCACTTTCAGCTGTTATGAAGGCTGCATATCGTTATTCTTTGCTCGTCCTCGTGTTTTTTTTGTTTTCCGTTTATTTTCATAATTTATATTTTCAATGGAGCTCGTCACATTATCGGCCATATGCGACTTTTGAAGAATTTTTGCAAGATGATGTGACATCAAATAATAATTCAGCGCCATTTCAGTTAGATTTTTTTTGCCGAAATTTGTCCGCATTAAAAACTCTTGGAGAATAGAAATGGAAAATAAAAGAGATAAAGCAGAATTTTTTCGAAAACTCTCGTTAAAAGTACCTAAGTTATTGATATAAGAGGCAGTGAAAGGAATAATTGTCATAGTGCGATTATAAAGTTTTAGATTTTCCAAATGCTCTATGTCTAATTGCTTTAATCTGACACGATGTCTTGAACTGGAACGCTTCAAAGTTTATGTATACCCAATGAATAATGATACTCCTATATCAAGTCTTTATTCTAATATCCTCAGGGTGATAATATTTTTTAACTCCTACCTTGATGTCTTGAAATTGACTGTATTCAACAATTTGAGATTATTTCAGAGAATTGAGGTAAATTGATACAATTTTGATACAATTCCAATCATAAGTTTGCTTTCGAATTTTCTTGAGCTTTATTACATATACTCTATCTTTTTTCCATTCATCTGCAAATCTTGCCAATAATAATATATAGAAAAAATTTTTTTTCAAGGTATTGCGCGAAAGCTATTATTATACGGATGATCCGAATTTGGCGTGTCTTTTTGTGTTGAATGTTGATACTATCGACCGTGATGGGAGGAGGTATGCAAAGAGTTTTTAAATTTCTAGGTTTATCTTTATTTTTAAATTTCGAAAGCTGATTTAGTGAAAATTATGTCAAAAATATGAATGATCTGATCGATAATTTACCGAAAAAAGTTTGGAATGAAGGACGAAATCATTTAATTTTCAATCTTTACCATGGGACATATCCAGATTACGCTGATCATAATCTTGGTTTCAATGTCAGTTATGCTATGATTGCTCGTGCGAGTGCGAATACTCAGGTGCTCTTTATTAAATGAAATTTTAAAGTTTGCTTGCCGAATTTTTCTACAATCCATATTAATTTTGTTGCGTCATTAATATTTTTATGATTAATAATTTGATATCGACAATTTTATATCCTATGTTTTAGTTTCTTTTTGGATATTTTATTCAAATATGACTGATGACTGATTTCAGGTTTTCAGAAGCAACTTTGATCTTTCATTTCCTCTTTTTCATGCACAGCATCCATTGCGCACTACTGCCGAAGTTAGATTTTTATTGTGATATTTTTGTTCTTTCTCGGCGTTTGAAGCTTTTTAAATTTTTTGAAATTTTTATATCTTTTTCATTGTTCGTTAAAGATGGATTTTCAGGCTATTTGGTCCTTGAATTTCAAAGATACTTATTTGGTAAGTTTCAAAGGGAAACGCTATGTATATGGTATTGGATCAGAAACTAGAGATTCACTTTATCATTTACATAATGAACATTCTGTAGTGATGGTTACTACATGTAAGCATAATAACGACTGGAAAAAATATAAAGATGCTCGATGTGAAGAAGATAACATTGAGTACGAGAGGTGCAGTTTTGTTGATAGGAATATTTCGTGCATTATTATAATTTACTCATTATTTGCTTCTTTTCAATTAGTTTTTGTGGTCCTAATTAAATTGACATTTGTTTTCCAGATGGGATTATGCGAATACCATGTCAAATTCTACATTTTGCTTAACTCCACGTGGACGGCGCCTAGGTTCATTTCGTTTTTTAGAAGCGCTTCGCTTTGGTTGCATACCTGTGATATTATCCGATAATTGGGAATTACCTTTCTCTGAAATTATCGACTGGTCACAAGCTGTGATTGTCGCCCATGAACATACAGTCCTTTTGGTTAGCAAGAAAATCTTTTTTTTTGGAATAATTATGGGATAATTTAAAAATTTATCTTATCTCAAATTATTTTCGAAGAACTTGGCACTGAAATAAAATAGGGATTAAAATGACAGTTTATGCTTGGAAAAAATATGAAGATGCTCGGTGTGTTGGATCATTTTTCTTTGGCAAATTTTAATTGGTCTTATTTAAAGATTTCTGACATTCTAAGCTCTGTACCACTGCAAAGAATATTGTTTATGAAGCAACAAGGTCGTGCACTATATCAGCGATATTTTAGCAGTGTTGAAAAGATAACCATCACTGCTGTGCAGGTTACTTTGGATTTACCCAGCTATAAACAAGAAAATTAAAAATTAATTTCGGCTATAAACAGGAAAATTAAAAATAAGAAAAAATTAATATTCAGCACTATATTAATAATCAAATTTAAATCAAAAATCAGTATCTTGAAGTTGAAAAAATATTTCAAACTTTAAATTTCAGATTTTTTTTTAGATGCCAAAGAATTATAACAGTTCATAAATTTTAACTAAATTTTCAGATTGTCGAAGAAAGAATTCGTAGACAGCGTGGAGAACAGTTAAGGAATTGGAACTTCATGTTTTTTCAACATAACATTAAAAATTCTATGAGGAATACTCCAATGTGTACTGTTGTTATCCGTACTACTACGAAAGTTACTGGACGATTGTCTCGAATAATACAGTTGGTATCTGATTTGGATCAATTTGATAAAGTATCATTCTTTTATTTGTCTAAAATTTGATTTTGATTTCTGTTCATAATTTATAATTTTATCTCTTAAATTTAAAAGGTAGTGTTTCAAAAAAAAGAGAAACGTTTCACCAGTTCTAAAATCCTTAATTCATTTTTTTTATTTTATAGGTTATCGTTCTTTGGCCAAGCAGTAAGCGCGTAAAACCAAATCCGGAGAGTTTTTCTACTGCCAAAGTTATTGAAATATTTGCGACTGAGAATGTTGGTTAACTTAACGGTTCATTTGTTATTTTCGACTATTTGCAAATGATTCATTCATTCACTTTATCATTCATTTATTCACATTTATCCTTCACTTTTTAAAAAACACAATTTTGGTTATATTTTGTAAAGGATTTAAGGATTATTACGGACTCTTCAGTATTGCGATGACAAATTTAGATTTGTTTTTTTCGCAGAATTTTGTATTATTCATCGACGAACGAGTCCCCGTATCTTTTGACGATTTAATTTTCATTTCTGAGGTAGCTAAATCAGAAAACGACCGTATAATTGGTTTTTACGCTGCTTCTCATAAGGTAAATTAAATTCTTATTTATTTTTGAACATATGTATACATCACATATATTTCTTTTTCAAGGCGTTTGTTTGGAGACAGTTCTTCAAAAATCTCTTATTTGTTGGAAATTTCTCGAGTTTTATAATTTATGTTTTTATAATTTAAATTTAAGAGATTTAAGGATCCATTTTTGTCTTCATTATTTATTTCTGATCTAAATAACATATGTATATATTTGATCGATTAATAATGAAATATATGATTTGTTTAATATTATTTTTAGCTCAATGAAAATTCTTGGGATGTTGAAATGTCTGTATCTGATATTTATTCTATTATTTTGCCTTATTTTACAATCTTTAAGAGGTAAGATCGAGAATTAAAAATATTATTCAGAGAGAAAAGCATGAAAAATTTCTAAACTAAATGAAAATTTATGGTTTGTCGAATGATTCAGTTGACCTATATTTTCTCTTCTTTTCTATGTTTAAATAATACTTAAAAATTATGTTTTCTCGACGTCTTTATCGAATAAGACTAATGCTTATGTTTTTTGAGCGTTTATTATTTCAGAGAATATATTTTAAAGTTTCGTGAATGGGCTCCTATGGAAGCGATTAATTTAGCGAACCGAAATACTCAATGTTTTATTCTTTTGCTAAATTTTATGATAACTGAATTATCCTGGCGCCCTCCTATTTTATTATCAAATAGAGTGAATGAAAACTGGATGAATGCGAAAAATTTTTCATCTTGTTTAAATAAGGTTTGAACATTCATTTTATCTTATACATATTCGAATAGTATTTTGGTCTTATCCATCTTCTACTATCTAATTTTTTATTTTAGCTAATAAACGATTTCTGGACATCTGGTCCGTCTTTAATTACTAGTAAGACCCGTATTAGCTCAATTAAGTTTGCGAAGAAATTGGAAATATATTGGAAACAGTTGTTTGATATACATGTTTAATCTTTCAAATTGTTTTGTCCTATCTAATTATATTCCTTAATTATTAAGCTTCTTTATGTTTTACATTTTAATATTTTTTATATTTATTGAAATTGTGAGTCATAGAAGTTATTAATATAATTTACTAAATGATAAATGGTTTATTAAGTTATACTCCGTTGTAATTAATTTTTTAATTGTGTGGTCTTTCTTGAATTTTAATTGCATATATATTTTCGTGTCTGATGGATCGGATGATTGAAATAATGATTTCGGAATAGTCATACTGGAGCTTGGAATTTTATTTGGTGTAGTTATTTCTTCATCTCCATATTTCATCCTATTCATTTTTTGTAGAGTATTTTACAGCAAGAAGGAAACAAAATACTTTTCAACTTATTGATCGTGAGAGTAGATCGAAATTGGCGATTGGATCGTTTCATATGGCCGTATCATGGACAGTAGCATCCATAAACTTTTGTTGGATACCAGTGCAAGTGGATATATTTGATCTTGGAAAGGAAGTGAAGAACAAATAAAAGATTGTCTTTGAAATAGTTCTGCTAATGGAAAATAATATTACAAATTGTCCATAAAATGGCTATTTGTGAATCAGGACATCAGCATGTTTTGTTGTGTCTTGCTAGAGAAATAAAAATGGTATGAATGGTAAAGGCTGAGACGGAAGCATTTGTAAAATTAATATGCCTGTATTGCTAATTTTCCGAGTTTTTTATATTGAGTTTAGTGCTAAATTTTTTTTAGGGCCACTCAAAATATTTCTATTGCAATTTCAATATAATCTAAAGCTGGATCAACGTCTTTAAATTTTAGGCTAATAATAGCGAAAGTAAAATTTAGTTTTGGAAAAAATGACATCTTACCAATATATTTCAGTGTGGAAGACAGTTTTTTAATATTAAGATAGATTAATATTTCATTTGACACAAAAGAAATAAGCACTGGGTGCGTGGAGAAGAGGAAGGAGAGGGTTTCGAATCATCTGAGAATCTGTAAGCCTCATAAAAAATTTAGGCTAAACTTTGAATTTGAGCTTGGTGCATTTAAAATTTAGACACTTTGAAAATTTTAAGAGTCTTTTTTCTCTAGGACTCACCATTTCTATTAGGATGAGTCTCCTTCGAGATCCTTAAAGGTGCAGGCAGTTCTTCAGGGCCACTAATGTCTCACCTACAGAATTATTCCTGTCAAGAGAATCGGACTTATGGCCTCTTGGCTTTGGTCGAAGTGACATATTTATCCATTGAGTTATCCTTATAATTAAAGTTAGAGTTAGTGACTCTGATTCAAATAGATATTTATATTTATTTTTGTAATCATCGAAACAGAGTAAATGAGCGAATTTATGTGAAAATTGCAATTTCAGTAGATATGTTGATTAGTGGCTTATAAAAAATATAATTTTTACCATTAAATATGAATCAATTAATTAATTAATTTTTTTTTGAATTAATTAATTTTTAAATTAATTAATTTTATCAGTATAAAAGCATTAATAATAAAGCAAATAAAGCAAATTTTTTAAAAATTTTCAAACTATAGTCTAATATCGTTGAACAAAAGCAAGAAACTATTCTTGCTGGGATTTATTAATAGTTTTAATGAAAGTTTGAGTAATTGCAATTCGATTTACTTATTGGCAGAAAACAAACAAATCATAACAAACATTTCCAAAAAATTTAGGCGAGAGAATTTTAATTTAAGACCAACAGAGAGAACTTGTGGTCCTTGTTGCAGGAAAAAGTTTAGCTTCGTGTTTTTGTATTTGTTTACCTATTTAATTTTTACTCTTTAAACTGAACAATGAATAATAAATGGACAACAAAATTCAGCATTTCTTTCAGCTATGAGATTATATCACAGTAGGATAGGAGATGGCCGAAAAGTACTTCGATTGGCTTCAGGTGTCACTCGTTCGCCTCTGACCTTGGCAGAAGAAAAACTTTCATCAAAAAAATCTAGATATTGCTGGTCGATCTACTTCTATCGCTAAGTGACTTCTCGTTTAGCGAAGTGCATTAATTCCTAGCATAACTATTTATTTCGCTATAGATAAGTATAAATCTATCTATATAATGTAAAAATTTTTTTTCGTTGGGTTACGCTTTTATATGTGGGTAAGATGATGGCTTGGATTATTTCTTGATTTTCTCCACTAATTGTAATAATGCGTACAAAAACAATGATCAGGTACAATCCAATGATCACCTAAAATAGCGAACATTGCTTCATCGCTTATATGTAAATATCTGCAACCTACCGTTAAGTGTTTCATCTACTTCGTGGCTGCCTTCGATTCAATTGATAAAAAGGTGCTTTGGTGGATGACGGAACTCGACGGTCTTCCAGAGAAGATCATATGATTCGTAAAGGCATCTTATCAGCTTTACGTCGGTGCAAGTCTGTATATGGGAAACAGACTCCTTCGAAAGAAGAACTGGTGTACATCAAAGCTGTGTCTTTTCCCTCGCAATATACAATATCTGCTAAACAATATACTGGATAATGGACATCGCTCGTCGGCATCACTCAAGAGGTGTGCAAATCAGTCCAGAACATCGTATCACAGACCTTAAATACGCTGAAGATGTAGTTCTTTTTGCTGGCAGTTACGACGAAATGCAAATAATGCTGTCGGAAAAACTGAATAAGTATTTTTCCATGTTTCAAATCGTAAAAAAGATTACATCTGGTATTTTTGAACGCAAATTTTCTTTGTGAATACAGAAAATTTGTGAAGAAATTATATAGTTATAAATTATAAATTAAAATCTTTCTTTCCTTAACGAACCAAAGACCAGAGTGTGTTTATTTGGTCGTTTTGGTTATTTGGGCAGGTTTTGTGATTCGGTCGGTTTTTTGGGTTGGGTCAGTAAGTTTATCTGTCACTTTAATAAGTGTTTTTTACAATACCTTTCTATTCAATAGTAATCCTATATTTCAATTCGTTTTAATAATTGATATTATTTTGCACATCGTTCTATTATATTGGTATTTGGGCAGTAATAAAATTTACAACTTTGTATTCCAATTCTGACTCGTGAAACCGTTGGCGAGTAAGTCATTTCTTTTAGAAATTTTAGTTTTTTTTTCTTCTTTCTGATTTAATAAAATTTTTCACGACAAATGTTAATAACTGCAGCGAAAACCTGACTCAGGATCAATGTAAATAAAATGAAAGCTTTTCGTCTTGTGTACAAGAAAATGACAAAATACTCTCTTTTTATAAACTCATTACCAGTTGAGGAAGTATTCGATTTTAAATATCTTGGATCCACTCTAATAGCGAGCGGCCAGGCAAAAGACGAAATTACAACCCAGATAACGACAGCTAAAAATATGGTTGACGAAATATTTTTAGAGCCGTCGCAAGATCACCATAAAAACTAAAGTCCGTATCTATATAGCCCCCATTCGTTCGATCTTGCTACATGGCTGCGCGACATGAGAGTGGAGGATTAAGACATTATCTGCCTTTGACCATTCATGTCTAAGGTATATTTTACTGGTTCGCCGAGTGGATAAAATTTCACAAGATCGCATCCACTTTCAAATATCATTTGCGGTACGTAGATTGTACCATCATAGAATGTCATCTTGGTTAGGGCACTTCTTCATCGCTCACCACAAGATTTGGCACATATTTCGTTATTTTCTAAAACCTGTGATGGGTGACGTCAAAAGCAAGAGGGGCCAGTCAAGATCTGGACTTAACGGTTGGGGAAGATTATGAACTTATGGGTGAACCATCACTATTTGGAGTTAGATGATGGAAAAAATCATCATCATCATTGGCTTCTTAATATCGCAATGGCATCAGATCGCGCAGCTTGGAAACATATTATTGTATCCAATAGAGCCAGCTTACCATTAATGGTAACAGCTTTTAGAAGAAGAAAAAGTGTGCTTTACCATCGATAAATTTTTAAAATTATTCGAGGAATGGGCACACTGGAAAGACTTCTGGAGACTGGATCCACGTTAGAAAGGAGTTCAAGATCTGCTGTTCAGAGAGAATGTTCGGAAATCTAAAATATCGTAAAGAATGCTTTTGAATCTGAAAATGCAAATTTTTTTTATCTCTCGAAAAAATGGCCTTTTTGCTTTTTTTATCACCAACAGTTTATGTTTAATTGAATATTCATGGAATATTGAATTAAAAAAATTTTAAGTTCAGATGTTACTGTATTTCATTAAAGTTGCAAGTAGCTAAAATAGACAGTTTGTTCCTTCTGTGGGGAAATACGGCCAATATTTGACCATTCGTTTAAAGCAAAACTGTAAAATCCGAGCAGCCATTTGTGCCCCTAAGCCATTTAACTAATCCTATGACGAAAAAGCCTCACCTTAGTATTTAATGATATATGCTATTAAAAAAAGAATTCTTGCAGTGGAGTATATCTAAACAGATTTTTTAAATTTTTTCAAGTTGGATTTGTCGCATATATCATTTTTTCCTTGTTTAATGGATCACCGATATAAATTATTTTATGTCAAAAAACTTGTCTGCAATTAGGGCAATTTGATTTTTAAGAAATATCCTTGTATATCTTTATAGGATTATATAAATATATATATATATATATTTATGTACAATCTTATCAGTTTTAGAAGATTCTTACTAATTAATGGAAGCAGCTAGCCTACATAGCTCCTCCTTCAGCGTTTAAATCAACCGAAATTTATGATGACAATTCTTGAAGTAACCTTGCCTTAAAGTGAAAATCTGCCATCTCGATGTGGGCTGAACTGACATTTAATTGCAAGATTGCAAGGATTTCAGTAGCTTGTCGTGGTAGTTCTGATACGGGCAGGCATTTGTAGACGAAGGTCGTACCTTTGACATAATATCTCCAAGACAGAGAACATTTTTGTCATTTTTTGATGAATTTCGTCTGGAAGCCGCAATTTGATACAATACCATAAACAAGCTCAGATGAGATGATGTTAATGACTGGCTTCAATAGTAAGCGAATTCGGAAAAATGAAGTTCTAACATGCAACATTCGTCTGCTCTGATTATACCTTAAGTTGGTAATGGAAACGAGGTCATTAGTTTGAGAATGATTGAAGATGGTTCAGTGAACAAATCTAAATAATTGAGATTCTTCGAAAAGAGTGAAGTTAAACTGAATATAGGCTATTTTTGCCTAAAAGCTATTTCATACAAATAAGCTATAATTAGAAAATACTCTTTTTTCTAAGAGTCATCACCTGGTTAAACTCGCTCCACTGGCTTGTCACTTTGATATGGAGATTGAAGAATGAGAACATTAGCATTAGGCGCTTGTCTTATCTTTTTACTAGTTTCTATTTGTTACAAGGTGTTGTATAATTCTTTGCTTTCCTCTCTTCGGGTCGATATATACCAATGGCACCAACATAGATTTTCATGAATGCAAGATTATCACCTATTTGAAATGATCATCTCAAATAATTTAATTTTCTATTCTGCAGCGTCAATTTCTTACGAAAGGGAAAGGGTTTATAGAAGAGTTTCGGTTATCCCCAGAATTTTGCGAGAAGGACTCCGATATAAGAGTTTCACTGGTCGATACCATTATTGCCTGTATGTTAATTGGTGATTGTTGCGATAAAGCTTCAGTAGTGCGATTTATATTTTACAATAGATCAAAATTTGACAATTTATCACCAAGAAGCTTACATACTTCTGAGGAGCTATAACGATCTTTCACCAAGTTATTCTTAGTGAAGTCTTGGTAAATGTCGTCTCTGTGCTTCAATAATGCGATCTATAGTAGCCTTTCTGAAAATTTCATGTAGCATCGCGAAAAAATAATGCAGCAATCTCTGATAATTGAACAACTATATAGCCAAATTTGATAGATAGACTGTTTCCAGCTGAGAATTAATTCCATGTGACAAAAATACAGCATGTTGAAAAAGAAATCAAGAGCTGTAAAACTTGTTAAGGAGGCAATTTTAGAGAAAAGAGGAGTTATAGTTATAAAATATAGCAATTAGAAAAACTGGAAAAAATAATTAGGAACTAAGGAAAATTTGAAATTAAGATTCACTGTCCGAAAGATGTGAATAGCCTCGCCTGCCTAAGAAAATACGATTACCACTAGTCTAGCTTGGAATTTTGCATAAATGGATTGACAATTTTCTTTACTTATAATTCTTTATAATTCTTTCATCAGCTTTTTCTCAACATGTTTAACTGTTAAAGTCGCTAATTGTTAATAAAATTTTTCAGCTATTTACTTAAGAATCCATTTCTTATCTCCTTTTCATCGTGAAATACCATATAACAATCGTTTTACTAAAAATGAATACACCTGGCATTAATGCTCGTCCCAACCCATTCAGTTAAATTGTAGAATTTAAATAAATATTTGTTTGATAAAGATTTTTCGAAAATAGAAAATAAAATTAAGAGATGAAAATAAAATAATAAAATTGCAGTAATATTATTAAATATTAAAAAATATGCAATATTAAAGAGGGGTAAACCTTCCCAAAAGGCCGGGTGATGGTGGTAATTCACCTGTATTTCTCTCGCCAAGAGATTCCATAGCATATTTGTCCAGTGCGACAAGTCACCGAGCAAGTAATGGTAAAATGTTGAAGGATAATAGTGTTTAAAATGATAAGAAATTAACATTAAATTATAAACCATCGTATATGATGGCTGAAATGGATAGCAATAAAGAAATAAAATTTGACGAGAAAATTTATTGTTTATTTTTGTTTTCGCAGTTATTACTCGCTTACAATAGCAGTTATTTTTAATAATTATTCGCCAGAAAGAGCTTATTTTTTTAATCAATTGAAAATTATTTTTTCCATAGAAACTTATAAGTTTAATTCATTTTTCGCATTTTGCTATTGTAATTAGCTAGAATTTAAATAAAAAGCAGTATTAAATTCTTGCGAATTGTTTGCCGAAAAAGTTGATGAAAGCTTTCTTTTTATTTCCATTAATATTAAATTCTTGGAGGAATTGCTGTGATCAGTGATAAGCATTTTTGTCTCACACTATCAATAAATTTGACGAATTTGAAAAATGCTGTTGGAACCATAAGAACCACAGCAGTGATGCCAAATTGAAATCATTTATTGATATTAATATTTCGACAATGCAAAGACGTTCCTTGAGAGTCAATAACGGCACTTACTTAACGTGAATACAAAATTAGTGCAAAGGAAATGTGAAACGAAAGCACGTTTTTGACAAAAATCTTTTCAATCCCAATGAAGGAAAATAAAGTGTCTAATGTATTACATAGTATGATTTGGATGAGTGAAAACCAATTCATATTTTGCTGCAATCAATAGATTTACGAATGGATAAAAAACAACCATTTATGTATCTTATTCATGGATTTGCGGTTCACCAGAAATGGTTTGCGAACTGCAATCCATCCATGGATTTACGGACAATTTCGTTGCAAATATTAAGGAATTTATAATCTTTTTCTTCATTTTTTTTATTTCTCCAAAAATTTTTTGAATTTTTCTCTCGTTTCACTTCACTGATAATGATGATAGGAAATAAATAATTTTTCGCCTCGAATTCATTTTTTTCTAGCTTTATGATTCATAAAAGTTTCCATATTTTATACTACTTCTTTCTACTGTTCGAATTTTTGCGTTTTTAAAGAAACATCTTCAGTTTTTGGAATTTCTATGAAGATAACGATGAGATAATTTCGTTATTTGATAATGTTTTGCTTATTTTTTTTCCGAGACCTTTGACTCAATGAACATTTTAGTTAAAGTTTTATTTCCTTGGATAAAGTTTTTAAATGATGCGATCAGCAGCTAATTTAGTTTAATTTTTATCAATTTTGATTCAAAATTCAACTTTCGACGAATAATTTTAAATGTACCTTAATGACAAAATACAATATTAAGGTTTGAATATTACTATATTAATAGCAGAATAAATGAATATCTTTTCTTCATTAGTATTCATTAATAAATGAATGAATAATAATGAACGCTAGGTAATTCGAATATAATCGGTTTTAAGCAGTTGATCGTCGCTTATGGCGCAATCTGAAAGAAATTTGTCGAGTTGAATCGCTTAAATTCAATTCATATAACACCATGTACATCAAATATATAGTTGTGCCGACGAAGGCTATCGGAAAACCTTCTTTAATAATACTCTTCTGTTTAATCGTTCCTGCTCAATAGAGTGGAATCCTTTTGATAAAGAGATCTGATTAAAGGTGTAAATAAAAGTGGGTCCCCAGCATCAATCAGACGAGAGGATATTGACAAAATTTTTTTCTTTCAATTTGATTAGCGAATGTATTTTTATAAATTAATTTGTTGAGATTAATTTATTTTGAGATAACTTACTGGGATATCTTAGCTGAAAGTAAAGAACGGAGTCGATGAATTGATCGCTTTCTACGTCCCATTCCACAGCAACAACATCCACAGCCTAAGGTTGGTGGCGCTGGCGGTGCTGGTGGTGGCGGTGGTGGCGGCGGTGGCGGCGGTGGCATTGGCACATTTTCTGTTGTACACGTTACAACTTGTTTATAATAAAAAGGGGGTGGTTGTATACAAATTGGCGGTGGCTGACAGCAAAAAATCTCCTCTCTGGTAAAAGGTGGTGGTGGAGGTGGTGGAGGCGGCGGAGGCGGCGGCACGGTTGGTGGAGGTGGTGGTGCTGGTGGTGGTACTGAAGGCGCACCGCAGCAACAGCATCTGAAGTCAGAAAATATAGCAAAAATATTTTTAAAAAAATATTTTAAACTTTTCCTTAAAAAATATTTTAAAGTTTATGCAAGAAAATTATCGACTTTTCGCTAATAAAATTCCGTATTCTTGCAGAAAACTTTAAAGAGAGAGTAAAACAAATTTATTTTTTCAGAATATATAATAGGGATTATACGGAAGAGTTCGTCTAAAAGAGTCAAAAAAGCTTTCTGGGCAGTTTTCCATTCATTCGCTTATTTCGCATTTTGCATAACAAAATTTGAATTGGAATTTGTAGTTTCAAATTTATTTTAAGTTATAAAAAAAGTGATGTGATTTATTTTCTATCAAAAATGATAATTTTTCTTCCTTATTTTCTAAGTCAATGATATTATTTTACTTAATATCATAAATGTTGATAAAGTCATACGGGCAACAACAGCAACAGCCTCCACCGAAACCACGAAAATAGCGTTTTGTACGGTTTAAACGTTTATTTGACAGCGAGGAATCATTAAAGGACCCGAGTTTAAAGAGTGCCTTCTCACTGGAAGCACCGAATACTGGAACACCAAGAACAAGATAAGAATTTGTAAAGAAAATGATGGCAAGGACTGAGGTCACATTCACGTTCATCGTCGTGAAAAATAGGAGTGAAAACGACTTGTATGCCTCATCTGTGCCTTATATAATTGTCTGATTTGTTGTAAAATCCAATGGACGGTCGAAAAAAATTTCTTTGTCCTGACCACTCAACTACTGTTTATTTTTAAGTAATTTTGGTTGAAAAAGTAATGTTCGAAACTGGTATAACTATTATTGTTTGTTTACAAAGATTACATGGGTAGTATCTAGTATATTTGCATTAATTCTATTGTATATTATCGAATTCCAGAATATTTCTTTAAAATTTCTAATTTTGACTATTAATTTTGAAACTTTTATTAAAGTTTGTCAATGATGTCTTGCGAGGAATTATGAAATTGCGATATTGTTTTAAGGGGAATTTTCGCTTCTTTCCGAAATAACGTTTTGTACTGCAGCACGAAAAATTTAAAATTGTCTTATAACTTTTCCCTTTGATAATTTTTTAGTTTGTAAATCATTTAGAAATTTGAATATGGTTTTAATTATGAATTCAGAATTCATAATTATGAATTACATTCCTATCAAGACTTTTTTAATTTTCTTCTGATGACAGTTGAAAATTCTAAAGTTACGGATTCAACAATAATATCTGCACTGCATACTGGCATCTATCACAACGAATTATTTGAATCGCTTAAACATCTAGCAAATTATAATCTTGAAAATGATGATTTTTTGCACAAAATTTTTATACGAATAGGCTCATATATCGCCTTTTATTATCAGCCAGTGATATTGTTTATTGGTATTACAAAAGAAGCTTTAAAATTTCTTATGTTTTTCGAATGTGGATGGGAAAATTTTGTGATACCACGTTGCAATATTCAATCATGCAGTCTGTTTTGAACAAATTCAGCGAAATATTTTGGTGATGTTGGTGACCTACGAATTTTAGCTCGTCTTTTCTCAAAATTAGAGTTCCTCACTTCTTTTCTTTTTTTTTCACTTCTTTTCATTCTTTCTGAACAGTCACTTTTAGTCATTTTCATTTTTTTGACAATCATTAGCTAAATATATTGTGTGGAAAATCAGTTTTCGATAAATTTTTGATTTGAAAGCGTGTTTTAATTAATATTAATATTAATCATTAATATTAATTGGACAAATTCTTGCTGAAATTGAAATTTGCTTTTCGGATTTTGAAAGCATTAATGATGCTTTTTAAAAATATCGATCTTAAAATTTATGTGCAGTGATGAAATTTTTTTTAAAAAAATAAATCTCGAACATCGAAAAATATTTGATATTAAAAAAATATTTTAATTTTTTAAATATATTTATTGCTCATCAGTTTGTTCCATTCGTGAGTCGTTGGGCTTTATGGTGCATTTCTTGTTGAAAAAATTATGGCAGTGTGATGTGTGTTAAAACATAGCCCAAGGATACATTCCCTAACACATAAATCCAAGGTAATTTGATTGAAACAGATTGATGCTAGCAACAAAAATGGTTTTGCTTTTAACAGAAAAGTAATAGATTGTTGCAATTCATCTAAGTGCTTTCAGTAATATCCAAAAATTCTTATTTCCTCAAATGTGTGAATTTAGAAACCATAATTTTTACAAAATTTTAATATATCAAAAAAAAGATGAAAAAAATATTTTCGTTTTTCGTTTTTCCACTTATTTGAATATTTTTCATTTATTGAAAAGCAACCAAGCAAGTCGACAAATGCCATGTGCTTGTATTAATGACAACACTAAAATAACAAATAATAATAATAATTAATGATGAAAAAAGAAAAAGAAAATATGATATACGAAAATTAACAATTTAAAGAGGAAATAAGAGGAAATAGAAAGGAAATTACAAAATAATATAATATAGTATAATTCGAAGTAACTGTATTATATATAATCGGATGGTTAAAAAAATCGAAATCCACACTTCCTGCATGAAGTGAATGAAGCGAACTTTTTAAATAATATAAATGATATTATCTAATCTTTTTTTAAAGATAGCTAGGGATGGCGCACAAGTTATATCGTTCGGTAATTTATTCCAGAAATTAATATTACGAATAAAGAAATTATGAGTCCTTAGTTTAGTTTTATACATAGATTTTAGTAATTTTATCCCATTGGTTCTTTCGGATTTAATTTTAACCTAAAATTAAAAGAATTTGAAAAAGTTTGATATTACAATACAGAATTTTATAAGTTTAAATTAAATCTTGCTTAATTCCACGAATTGAAAGGGATTGTAGGTTACATCGTTAAAATTATGTTTTATAAAATTATGCTATTAGGAAAAAGGCGAAATATAAAATATTTCTGAAGTCCCTCGATTAATTTACTCGATTATCTAGGTTGTATTGTGTTCAAAAACTGACTGAACGCTTTATATATTAATAATAAGAAAGTTTAGTTTTTAGTTCTATTTTAAACGAACGAAAAACAAAATTTAGTACTCTTGAGGATTTCTTTATCATGATTTTGCAGTGAAGATCGAAATCGAGATTTTCATGATTATTCCAGGATCGAAAATGTGTGAGACTCTTCTGGTTATATTACCATTAATACAAAAATTAGAAAGATCGAATCCCTTAGAATTTATATGTAGAATGCTACATTTTTGAAAAGAAAGAATAATTTGCTTGTCATATAGCAAGTTTTGAAGTCATTCTCCAGTGGAGATAGGTTATCTGATCTATTATGAGTATAAGAATCAACTATGAGAATCTGAATAATAAATTTTACAATCATCAGCATAAAGATAAACGGTAAAATGTGGTACCACTTTAGTGATATCATTTACATATAATAGAATAGAAAATATATATAATATAATAGAAAATAGCGCAATATAATTACCTTGGGTAATGCCTAATTTAACAGGTGTTATGTCAGAAAGAATGTTGTTAACACATAGTGACGATCTTTTATGTAATCTGACATCCAGTTATAGAGGTTCCTTGTGATTGAGTCATAATTATTAAGAGTGATCAACAACTTGCTATGGGAAACAGTATTAAAAGCTTTGACCAAATTTAGGTACAAAACTGGTATTGTTTTTTCATTGCCAATTGATGCTGACCAATACTTATGACCATTTTCATTTCTATCATGGGTGCTAAATCTAACCAGAAATATTATGCACTATTTACACTATTACTTATTTTATACACTTATTTTTATTAAATACCACAATCATTTAAAATTTTAGATGGAGATCTTTCATTTAATTATAAGGAAGAAAAAAAATTCGAAATATTGAATTCAGAAGATAATTATTCTTCACGACAATCGTGATTTTACTTACTCAAGCTTATAAATCTAAAATCCTTCTAAATCATCATTTTGAATAGCTCATTCTTATAACTAGTATTCTTTTCTATAATACGAAACACATTTCAAGCAAGTCTATTTATCAGATACCTCACGATCTAGTTCTTGAAACTTTTGAAATTTTTTTCAGTCAAATAGAACTCCTTTTTGCTGCCATATAAACAATCCAAGTTTTTTAAGAATCAATTTTTAAATTCTATCTAGAAAACAATTTATCGCTCGCATATTTAGCCGTCTCTATCACGGATCAGTAGAATATCCTTAATTAATAAAAGCTTTCTTTCTTATTAAGTTTCACTCATAAAATTTCCATATTTCTTATTAAGCTATTTAACAAAGTGTTAAAAATAATAAATTTTTTAAGCAAACAATAAAAAATAGGCAAAACATATTAGACATACAGTCTAATACATTCATTTGGAATCTTCCACAGCGATTGTGGCAAATTTTTTATCAATAAGGACAATGACAGATTTTTGTAATACGCAGAAATTATAAAAAAAGGATTTAAACAATTTGAAATTCATAGTCCCTGAGGACATGGGACTATTAAATAAATCCATTCGGATAAAGCGGAGAAAGAGTTCGAATTCACAGATGAATTGTAGAAGCGATTCGTTTTGAAAAAAGCAAATTTATTCTTTTAATCCTAAAATATATTTTTGCTTTTTGCTCGCCGGAAAGACAAAAAATGATTAAACGGCGCAGAACCATAGAAAAGTTAAATAATTGACCATTCTCACTAATTCGCATCTTATCAGTAGTCGGAAATTTCAGAAATCTGGGAAATACATTCGCAATATTCTTTCCTGTTTGCTTCTAAGTTGTATCGTTTGTTCTCTTTTGTATGGTATATTCCCATCGATTATTCGATTTTCCTTCGTTTTGTAACAAAATTATATTTAAAATAACTTTCTTAGGTTTTGAAAATTAATATTTCATAACATTAATAATTTATAATTTCTAAATTTCATTTTATAATCTTTCCATTAATATTTTTTACCATTTCGGCTTTGGTTAAAAGTGGGTGCTCATTTTTTCTGAGGGCACTCATCATTAGTGTTTCCATACACCAGTAGAACACCAGTATTGCTTTTCCAAAATGAGCACCCACTAACCATTCTTGCCATTCTGCCGCTCGACAAAAGGTGATATGCAGCTCCGGATTCGAACTCGAACTATTCTCGATACAATGCTGGAAACCATCTTTCTACCCAGTCACTGGCTATAAATGAATGAGACTGCCAGAAAACCATGGAGTTGAGGATAAAAGTACAGCAGGATCTCCAGTGCCACTTCTTACTTTTCATGACATTTGTTCTCAGTGCACTTAATACATCGATTTTTCAAGCAAATTAATTGCGGCTTTTATTCATAAAAAAATTAAATGAAAAAATTTTCTCAATTTTAAATGGAAGTTATCTTTTTTTGACTGAAAAATTTAGGATTTTAAAGCATTTTTAACAGAGAAATGTCAAATATACCCCTTCAATTTGTAGAAAAAATTATTTTTCTGGAAACTTAAATTTATTTGAGCATTTAGTTTTCCAGCTACTTTGGTTCGGTTTAGAAATTTACCTCCGAATCTTTTATTGGGTGTAAATTAGGGAAAATAATAAAGATTTTGTTAATTTTTTTTAAATTTTTAAAAAATTTCATGTACCATTTTGAATTCGCATATTATTGGCAACTTTGCTTATC